TGCTTTGCATAAACTACTGAGTCTATTCAAAAGAGTAGATTTATTGCCATTATATTTGCACTCACCAGTCGATGCAGCATCATTGTATTCCTGTATATCTGTATTCCTCGCTGATGGCTGCATTGCTCATTGGATACTTCCACACAGAAATCTAGTTGGATAGAAAAACGAAGTTAATTAGAATCCATTTCTTATAGCGCACTGCTGATAATTTCACACGTGAAATTTACTATCAATGGACAAAACGTATGGAACATACACTGTAAAAAAATATGTAATATATTACACAAAAATATGTAAAATTACATAAATAATAAGTGTAAAATTACACAATAAATAATAGAAATGTTTACCTTTTCATTATTTATCATGTAATTTTACATTTATTATTTATGTAATTTTACATATTTTTAATGTAATTTTACAAATTTTTTTTACAGTGTATGGCGTGATTTGTTTGTCATTTCAAAATAATTTATCGCAATCATATGGTCAATTAACACGAATCGACATTCTATTATATTATTGACAAAAGTCATTACTATTAAAATGCGCAGAAAAAATATAAAAATATTATAATAGAAAACTGTGACGGCTATTTCGAATATCATATAATATAAATGACCGCAATAATTCATACTTTGAAAAATATATTATTTTCGAAAAAATCAATATAGTACTTATTGTTAGATATGATAAATATAAGAACAATATTTTTGTCCATTATTCACCATCGTTTACAGTTGCATTTAAACACGATGCAATCGCGATGCAATTTCTTCTGATACTTTTTCTCAGCACTCTCGAATTTCGTGACGAAGACGCATGATTGCATTAAAGTGGTTGTAACATGCACTTATCGGTATCTGTTGCGTTCACTGATCGCATAAATCGTGTAATGACGTAATGGTTATAAACATCAATCACTATTATTCACGAGACAATCACTCTCGACTTATCGTACTCGATACTTTTTGATATTCGGAGAAGCGGACACAACTTCTTAAAGAGGGTATAATATATCGCCACGAAAGAAACAGAGAGAAGAGATTTCACTCACTCTAAATTCAAGACGAAAACGTCTATAGACATAGTAATATAGACATAGTAAACATAAATATGTATTTTATATATTTTAGAATGTATTTCACTTGATACCATTTTCGCTTCGAAGCACTTAAAATGTTTGAAGCGTTTAATTAAAATGAAGAATCTTATATTTTTCAAAGCAAGTAGAATTCAACTTTAATTATAAATAATTTTTGTTAACAAAATTAGAAAAAAAAAATATGTTGCAATATGTTGGGAGTCTCTGTTTAAATAGCTTAATAAATATACATGTAATTTATATATTCATTTATTTACTATATTCATGCTCTCATTCATTTACACACACTTTGTCCGATTATATGTAAAATTCACGTAATTACAATATAATCGAAATAATATTTTGCCTAATACTCTATTATGTATTTTATACTTTTATTTTCTCTGTATTTATAGCAATTTACATTTCACACGAATGCGAAAATGTTTAGAAAGATGCTCTCGTATATTACTGACTAAATGATACAAATCGCTTATAAATCCGCCAAGTACTTGCCAAGTTTCTCAAAGCGTTTCCGACTAAAACGGATTTGGATCGTCCCGAGAGCGATTAAATTCAATTTCTCATAAAAGTACGTTCGATAGAAAATGAATATTTCTCGTAACTTCTTCGTTGAATTCCAAGTCTAAAGTTATTAGTAAAGTAATTCCAAGAAATTAAAGTTAAATGTAGTGCACTGAGCAAACATTTTATACAATTGCTTTTCTCGAGTTTTTATTAAATAACTCCAACGTGATATCAAAACAAGAGAATATATAATATCAGAATCTCTCAACAATTCGATAAATAATTGCTAATTAATATCGCTTACCTCTCTATTTAATTTCGCATATATATACGTATTTTTATATATTGTCGAAATAATATAACGAAAACGCGTTCGCGATAGACTCGTCTTAAAGCACGAAAGACCCGTCTTAAAGTAGATGCGATAGCATGTTTGTACAACGATATGAGCTCGCTTTTCTTCCGATTCCAGAAATCGCTCGATGCGTAATTGTATCTGTATCTGTTTTCCAATAGACATGTTATATTGTGTTTTCGAATCGAGCTAATACTAGAATTATATACTTTTATATTCTTTTCTCAAATCGTCGAGAACGAACGAATGCAATTGTATATATACATGTACATATACGTGTGTCTTATCTTTTTTTTTTTATTTTATTATAACAGTAATATATAACATTAATAAATTATATAAACGTAATAATGCTTCGTCGATATAATGTTTACATAATTGTACTGCAAATATTAAAAAAATACCAAAAATAAAATATAATAGTATTATATATCAACGCAATTTATTTTGCGCAAGTATAAATGCATATGAATTGAAAATATAATATTAAATTGAGTATTAATCTAAATTTTTGCGATAATTTTATTTACGAAGAACAAAGAGAATTTTCGTAATACTGAAGGAAATGACTCAGTCCTCTTTGATTTTGCCAAAACTTTACAATATTGTTTATTTTTATGCGTATTTTAATTCGTAGTGTATGGCCTTCTAATATTACAATAGAATAAAATGTCGATTTAATTTTTCGATTTATGAAATAATTATTAATAAATGATTTTTTATTGGCGCGAGAGAATACTGATATATTATGTAATTGTCATCATAATAACGATAAATCTCGTCTTTACAAAATATTAAAAATTAATATCTTAATTCAAATAATATTTTATAAAATTAATTATATATTCTGTCGCGTGTATATTTCGATACAAAATAAATTAATAATAAATAAATAATAGTATAAAAATAATAAAAATAAAAATAATAAAATAAAAATAATAAATAAATAATAGTATAAAATAATCAAACTAAAATGTATAAAATAATAAATAAATAATAGTATAAAAATAATAAAAATAAAAATGTATAAAATAATAAATAATAGTATAAAAATAATAAAAATAAAAATGTATAAAATAAATAAATAATAGTATAAAATAATAAATCGCTCACCATAATAGTTGTCCCGTTGCCTGATGCCGCCCCAGGCCTCCTCTTCGTAGAAGATGCTTCGAAACACTTCATCGAACGACACTACGACGACTTCCTCGCGACGCACTCAGAAATCGCCGATATTCCAGAATTCGGCACTACTATATTGTCACTTGTTCGGAGAGAAAAAATTGTTCAGATCAACGCGATTTCGAAGAATCAATAAGAATAATATGGCGACGCGACTGTTGTTGATTGTCGTAGAGGACTGACGATTTTTACGCGAGAATTATGAGCCTAATTCGTCGCGTAACGATACTTCGACACGATGATGCGAAAGTACGACCGGAAACGCTCAATCATCCACTTAGATCGACAACGTAGAAAAACCGGGAGATTTTCGCGTCGAAAGCGCGCGATAATTCTCGCGATCCACCCCTCATAAATACACGAGCGCCAACTTATTTTGGCGCCAACTCGAGTCGGAGCTGTGACGTCATGGCGTTTGGGAGCTGTGACGTCACGGCTTTGGGGGAGGACATTTAAAAAAAAAAAAAAATACAAAATAAAAGTTTTACGTCAAGCGAGATTCGCGGCCGATGAGATCGATTTCGCGCACGCGATCGCGATCACGATGTCAGGACACGCGACGCGATCAGATTTATAAGATAATTAAAGACGTGAAGACGCTAATTAATGCGCACGCTCGTACTTTTCGCGGACTTTCGCCAGCTTGGTCAAAGTCGTTTTGGGAGAACGAACATTGAGCGAAAATTCACGTCCATTTCGCGTTTCGATTACGATCACGATGTCGAGACACGCGACGCAATTGAATTTACACGACAATTAACGGCGTAAAGATACTAATTAATACTCACATTCACGTATATTTGCGCGAACCGGCGCGAACATTGCCCACAAATGAGTTGAAAGTACTAGTAAAGGCGATAATATTGTAAATTATGTTCAGAAATGTCACCTCGTGTGAAGTTCTCGATCGACCAATCAGGACAAAGAGATCGGTCTCCGATTGGTGGATAAAATATTTCTCCGAACACCGTATATACACTCGCGATCGTCGTCTACTTCGGTAATGTGCGATTAATACATGTTTTTCGCGCTCTCTTAAAATATTAAAGAGGAACGTACGATATTATTAACAAGAAGATCGCGGAGCGACCGTGTCGTTGGACTTGGCGATTTTTACTCGAGCTCGGAGCTATGACGTCACGCCAAGGACGCGACACGATCGGACCTATACGATAATTAACCACGTACGGACACTAATTAGTACTCACGCACTCGTATTTTCGCGGACCGGACCGGCGATAATTGCGCGAACGTTGATCACGAACGAAGCGAAGTCAGCTCCTACTTCCTGCACGATCGCGTTAAGGGATGCTGCAACGGCCATACAATGGCCGATCGAAACGCGTCGAAAATGTGATAAATTAACGTGTATGTAAAGTGTTTCGAAGATTTTTTTCTACGAGGAGAAGGCTTGGACAATGACAGGACAACTATATGGTGAGCAATTAATTTATTATTTATTTTATATTATTATTTATTTATTAATTGCATCAAAAATATATGCGACAAAATATAATTAATTTTATAAAAATATTAATTTTTAACATTTTGTGAACACAAGATTTATCGATATATGATCGCAATTGAATTATTAATATATCAATATTTTCTCTTGCCATTGAAATATTATTTATTGATAATTATTTCATATAAATTGAAGAATTCAATGGACGTTTTATTCTATTGTAATATTAAAAGGTCATACACGAGTAATGAGAGACGCAGGAGAATACAATGACAAATATTTCGATAGCGCACGGCGCTTATTTTTTTGTCGACTCGCGTCACCTTGAGTCTACATTACACCGCGTTTCGGGACGACTCGCAGTCAGTCGCGTCGTGGCCTCGTTGTGTTGAACATGTCTCCGTTTCGTGCGAATAACTTTTTAGTTTCAAAGTGTCGCTGTGTGTATCGGGAGTGACAAATTCGGCTCGAATCAATGAACGATCGTCGCGGAGTGTTAATTAACACGTGGAGTGTTGCATTGTGATTGGGATTAGTAGATTTATCCGACTTTCTCGAAATTCGCAACTAGACCAGCGACACACGCATCGGTGTGAAGTTGTCCCGCGTCTCTTTTTACATATCGAAGTACATACATATCGACATATCGAAGCGCGATAGATATCGAGAGTGTCTCGCAATCGAATTAATAGATTTCTTCGAGATTCGCATCTAGATGAATGAAGTTTTCCCGCTCTTTTTACGTAGATTATGCATGTACATATCGAAATGCGTCGGACATTCGTGAACCTCGGGAGTGTTTCGCGTTACTTAGTATATAGATATTCTCCGTAATAAGCATCGGCAGTGCCATAATAAAGTGCCGGACGTTAATTGTATTGCGATAATTAACGCGCGCGATCATTAGCCACCTTTCATGTTCGATGCATTCGTCGCGAGTGAGTGTTCAATGAAATCAACAACAAAATAGCGCTGATTGGATTTTCTGGTAATTACTTTCATTTTTGAGTAATTATGCATTCGAGTTACATATCTCTTTTACTCGGACTGTGATTCGATGAAAATTTATTAAATAATAAATGATTAGATATAAAAAAACTCTAGCTACTCACAAAAAAGTAAAACAGATAAATTAGTTTTATATTTAATTAATTAATTTAATTATTACTTCGCGGGATTATCAAATAAATTGTTAAATCGTGAATATTATTATTCGAAAAATAATAAAAATAATATTTTCTCATCTCGTGTTGCGCGCTGTCGACGCGTATATATTCTGTATATGTATATACATATATGCAGAATTCTGCACATATACATATATATATATCATCGCGAATTTAATGCCATATTGTACGCCGTCAAAGTTTCCTTCCGACAAGAAGCACTCGTCTCTCTAGACATGAGATGACAAACTCCGGCGAGCTGCTCAAACCCGCGGTCGACCGGCCAAACGAACATTTGCAACTGCTTTTCGTCGACAACGACAGCGCGAAAACACTCGAGTACTACTATCTGTGCAGTATGTTACCCTCCACGTGGCGAGTCCTTTTGCGCACGAGGACGAGTTTCGAGGACGCTCTTTCATCGTTTCTAGCGGGTGCGCACGAAATACATAATGCCGCGAATGTGCACCGCACGATGGTCATTGAGTGTGTATGCCTGTGTGTATGTGCGTGATGCCGACACGAGAAACCACTCAGCCAACTCGTCTGGCGTGCGTTTGCGGAGACGACTCACAGTCGTGTGTATTCATTTTCTCTCTCTGTCTCTCTTTTTCTTTTTTCGTCTTCTCACTTTTGGATCTATTCGGATTCGTGTGTGTAATGTGACAGAGGGTTGAAATAAAAGAGCGTTCTCTCGGACTCACGTCGTCGAGTACCCTGGAGTTTATCTCATTTTGTGTCCCTTCGACTTCAGAGTAACCGACATCAGGGGAAATCTTCGTGGATCTTTCCTCCCCCATCCTAGTAAAGATCTTCGTTTGGCACGATAATGAAATCGGAGAATCTAGTGTTCCGTGTGAAATATCCTTTCGAAGCACGGAATATGTTATCTGTCATTTCTTGTTATCAGTCTGTGATTTCTATATCGATAAATTTCAACATGCATCTGTATGGAAAATTTTTGATAAATGGAAATAATGCTATTTAAAAAAAAATAATATAAATAAAGCTTAAACTCGATTAATATATTTTGAGTAATTAGTTGAATAAAACTATAATTTGCTAATTTTTAAAAATACTGTTATAAAAGTTTTAATAATATATTGTAAATAATATGTTATACGTTAAACTCGATTAATATTTTTTTATAGTTATTAGCTGATTTCTGTCAAAAAATATTAATCGAGTTTAAATATTAAGTATATTATAATATATACGATTTACAACACATTATTTTAATTTATATGTATAAAATATTATTATCTTAAAATTTAATTAGCAAAATACGTTTTAATCAGCTGATTTCTGTCAAAAAATATTTAACGTGTTTAAAGTATCATGACATTATTTATGACATATTATTTTAATTTTTATAACATATTATTTTAAATTTTAATTAGCAAATTATTTTATTATGGCGAGGTCAAATTTGATTTTTATCTCAAATGTTTTTTGGAATATTTAAAAGGCAATATATTTTTAAAGATAAATGAGATAATGTATTTTATTTCATCCATTTAAATTTTCATTCATTTTGAAAGCGAGGAATAAAAAGCAGAATTTTGCATCGAAATATCTATTTCTAGAACAAAGATCGATTATATAACATATTTATCAGCAGTAGCAAGTATCGAATAAAGAAATTGCAATTAGCGAGCTATTTATCTCGTCGAAGAGATGAACGTTGCGATAGCCCGGCTAATTGCCAAGATTTGTGATTCTGCGTAACCTGAAGTTTCTTCGCGAGAAACGTAGTTTCCGCACGAGTTAAAGGTGTTCTTTTCGTTTTATGTTCCAGGTATCTTTCGTCTAATGCAGTGGCCTCTCCCGTCCGACGAACTTTATGAAAACTCCGGTAAGTGTGGCGCGGATTCTCGCAATTTTCCCTCGTTACAGAATGATATATATCAACAAGCTTCGCGCAGACTAATGGCGAAGTGTTCCCTTCGTTTTCACGCGTCGCGCGCGCAAACTATCGGGAAACTGTTTTGTTTCCTCGGAAAATAGTTCAGTCTCGCGCTTCGCGATGCATCATATGCGTTATGCAGGGGACAAAGACGAAAAATGGTTTATACAATTTATATACTAAATTTTCGATATAGGCCGCATTTCTCACGAAGAACGCATTTTTCTTCAAATTATTTTACGCAACTTTGTGCAAAGAAGAGACTTGTATAATACACATATATCGAAATATTTTACATTTTATTTTGTATATTTTATAAATGATATATTGAGATGAATTATTTTACGTAAAATTAGTTTTCGTAAATTTCACGTGAAAGTAAATCAATGATGATGGCGTGTTAGAATAATGACTAACGTGATTCATAATCACTCGAGTGTACCTAACACGCGGAGCGTTAAGAGGCGTCTCCGGGATAACTTCTTAGATTAGATTCTCAGGCATGTCGCCAAATTCGCATTCTTGCGCGGCCATTAAACGAAGCTCAGCTATATAAGGCGCTTTTGATAAAGTCTCGCTACCGTTTTCCCACCTCTCTACCTGCCAAAGGCAGCCTCTGGTAATTAAGTCGAGCCCGCACCGTCGTCGCCTTCCATTGTGCCGGGCAAATGGACTGTTTAGTCCGGATACATGACTCTATCCCCCGTTATTGTGCATGTATCGGCGCAATCGATCACCGACCCACATCTCTCGGTCCTTTCTCTTAATCTTCCTCCTCCTTTTCCTCCGCAAATTCCCTTCTTACCGATTCGCGAACCAGCTGCTATCCATTTAGCTGCGCCCTCAAGTAGTGTCAAAATTGTGATAGACATATGAAAACAATTCCTAATTAATAATTAATAAATATAATTTTGACGGAAATAATCTTGCGAAAAACAATTATCTGGATTAATTTTTTCTCACCAAACAGAAACAATATTTTTCTATATTTTTTTTTCGTATTTTCCCTTTGCAAATATTTTCCTCGTACAAGAAATGCGTGTACGGATTCGAATCTTCTAATGAAATTCGAAACAAACTCGTTCGGAATATAGGCTATCCTTGTTTAATTGCGCGAGAAATGCCGATATCAGTTTCGCAATATGACACAGCTCAACAGACGGAGGTCGTCGATCGGCAAATACGGGGTTTCGCGAAATTCGATCTACCATATACGAGAGAACGTCGGGCGGTCGACGTATATATATATAGAAGATATATATATATATATATATATATATATCCTCTCTCTCCTAATACGCAACGGGGGGCAAGGAAACGAAACGAAAATATTGTTCCACGAAGAGACATTTCGGCGACGTTACGCGCTCCACGAAACGTATCCGACTCGAGGGTGGAAAATCCAGCCGAAACGAATTCGCGAAAATCTTCTTCGGGGAATGGACGTCTCCGGAGCGCGCATCGCCTCCTCGAAGTTTTCTGTGCGAGGACTCTGACACCGGAGACACTTTAAAAACGTGCTCAGACTACCTGAGTGCGAGTATGCACTCCCGCGACTCGCTCGTGCTCGAACCGAGGAGGGAAAGAGAGTGGGTTCCTTCATTTTTATTAATACGGAATTACTTCCCCCCTGTCGAATTCATTCCTCTTCGCGAAAGACGCGTCGAAAATCGCATTCGTGTCGCGAATGAGATTCATCTTTTCGTATGTTCATCGATTTCCCTCGTCTCGCGAATATATGAGTATACATTTATATACCTATATTTGTTATCTATGCATAATATTTTAAAATATTATCAAGATTATTATATAATTATCTCTTATATAATTATAAATCTCGATTTGCGTGACAAATAATTTCACGGAGAATATTTTTCGACGATATATCATATTTTTATAATTAATATATGTATTTTAATAATTTATATATGTTATTTTTAAGTTTTTCTGGTAATTCTTAATTACCTTCTAATGATTAATTCATGAATTCTCTTATATAGTTACGATTTAATATATTTCACGGTTTAAAGGCTGAAATATCTCACGAATAAGTTGATGGCGTGCTTGGTCATTAAACACGCAGTCTCTTCCCCATTTCCAGATGAATAATATTATCTCGTCCGGTCTGACAAAGACACACGGTGTACCGTTACGATCGCGCGGAAAATCCAGTTTCGACGAAAACTTTCGGCGAACTCTCGTGACACATCGCGTATTTTCCGTACGTGACAGGAATGCGCGCAACGTGCTCGGTTACGACTAGGCGACGAAAAAGTTTCGGGCGGAAAGGATGATATTAATTTGATTACCGTTTTTCTCGTTAGCGCGAATGTACAATCGACATCGCGGGATGAACGTCGAGGAGTACGCCGTCGATCGTTGTCTCGTCATTAAGCTTCTATCTCCTTTGTCTATCGATCAGGGCTCGGGAACCACCTGCCGCTTTCAGAGTCAACCTCGTTTCCGAGGAATTACACGATGTTCGAGGCAGATGCGCCGATGCATCGGTGAATAATAGCCTTCTCCTGGATGCGGAAAGGATTGTCACGAAATCTCCAAACGATAAATTAATCCCGAGATTAATTAGCGGCAAATAGAACGTGCGCCTGAATCGCGTATGTGAAAATAAACTTGTAATATTTATTATAAAAATAATTTGATTAATGAAAATGAAGATGATACAAAGACGTGTACAAATTTCGTGAATAATTAATTTCAAAAACAGACTGATGTTTAAAGCCAGTGAATGAATTTTTACTTGATTTTATCATTTCGTGTGCTTTAGTTCAAGAAAGGAAATAAAATACGATACACAAATGTATTATATGTATATATAGTTCTGTCTGTCGTTCAGATTGGTATAGAGCGAAACATTTGTCTACGCGGCGTCCTCATGATTTATGATGGTATTATTCGCACCCAGCTACCCTTTCAATAAAATAACATCGATATTCCTCGAGTGACATTATTGAGACGAATTGTTTTCACCATATTGCTTCAATGTTGCTGAGTACGCAAATTTTTTGTCCGTGCTTGTTCGGCCATCATCAATATCTAGCAATATTGGCACCTGTTTATTACTATTCGTTATTATTATTTATAAATGATGTATATATTTCGAAACATACATACATAATACATCATATATAGATAAATCTGAAATTTTAATATGGTTAGAAAATTAGCATATATATGTATATAATAACTAATCCTATATTCTATTAATCTTTAATATTTTTCTTCCTTTAAATTTTATTGAATTTTATTATTATTTATATTACTATTTTATTTTCTTCGAATGTCGTTTAATTAAAGTTTCAATGAGTATATAAATGCCATGTTAGATAAATAATACAAATTTATTCGAGAACAATTAATTAAGAAATCAAGTGCGTCGACACATTAAAAGAATATTGTTGGCAGTTCTATCTTCTCCAAATTTCACAATTATCAGACAGGCTAAACACAGATTTGAAAGTTGGCTGTGAAAGGGAAGCGAGCTTGACTTAATTTATTAGTAATTTGCGCGAAAACTAGGTTTCCATTAGTACGCTTCACTCAAGTACACTGGCACATTATGCCGGCGTTTATACCTGTAATAACAATTTTCCTACTTGACATTTGCCATTAATTACAAATAAATGGCCACTTGACCCGTTTTAATTATGATTCAAGCATGACTTGACAGCATAAGTTTCCACTCTTGTCACATCAATAGATGAAAATATCATTTTTATCGCATACCTTTTTTTTATCATGCTTTAATAATATAAAGGAAGTAATTTTTTTTTCGTACTTTTTACAAAGTTTTCCTTTTAAAGATTAATATGATATAGTACGATAAAATACGATTTTTATGACGAAGATTATTATGCATCGTGATGCTTTACCTGACGTTTATCAAGCATCTCTTAATCCATCTCGGTAATAACGCCAACCCCAATTTAAGTTCCCAAACAATTCCCAAGCTTCCTGCAAAACTTGGAAATCAGATTTCTGCCTACGTCCCAGGACGATTTGCGAAAATTTCGCGAAGTAATTCCCACGATAGTAATTCTGTCGACAAACGCCGTATCCCTTAAACTAGGTGTTTATTTCGAAAGTGATGGAAATCGAATTTGATAAGCTTGATATTGCACATCTAATATTAAATGAATATTTTATCATCTTGTATGTATAAAATGCAACAGAATTTTTCAAAAAATTTCTTAATTATATTTCTTTACGTTAAATTCAAATCGACGTTTTTTTTTTTGCAAATAATTGTTGTCTCAACTTGTGAACGAATATCTTGATAATTAAACGTAAAATAAACGACGTAAGAAAGAGCTTATTGTCGAAGAGCCATTTCTCGGCGCGAAAAGTTTTTTCCTCGGGATAAAAATGTTAAAATCCAATCCTCTCATCCGCGTACGAGCCAATTGTCATAAGAACCGAGCCAGGATTGCGGCGAACAGTTCGGCACACTCTCTTCACGCGGGAATGAGAATAGTTAGGAGTTTTCGGCCGGCTGAGGGCTGGTCGGATTAATCTGCATATTACCATCCGCGGCGGGGCCATTTGCATTCCCGGGACGGAATACCTGCAGTGCCGACGTCTTCTGTCGCGTGGCGACGACGTGCCAACGATCCCGTAATGATCGCAATGACAGATGCGGTCGCGGTGCGGTCGTGTCGCACGTGCGTAGAAGGCCTCTGACAATGAGTGGTCGTTGAAGATTTAATTAACGTATTAAGCAGCACTGATGATCCGCCAATTTCAGAGATAAAGAGAGAGAGAGAGAGAGGAAGAAATTCAGAGAGTCGTATTTTTTCAAATATAAAAGAAATAGATTTTACGCATTTGTTTTTATAGTCATAAATCATGTCATACAAGATCATAAGCTTGGTCAGACTCTAAATCTTTTCGACATACCGGAATGACGTTTCGCGAGTTTTTTCCACGCCGAA